CTTCAACAACAATCTCTAGGCTCTGTACAAATATATATGCTTTTACCCCTTTGGTACATAAGTACAGTAAGCGAGCAGTAAGAATGTGGTAATTGACCTTTGGATGGCACCCGGTGTTTTGCAGTTAACACATAAGGTATTGCAAATGAAATAACAGAATTCAAAGGTCTTCTGTACTGCAAATACCAAGCATTTTGCAAACAAAGCACAGGATATAAAGACAATTAGGAGCTCTCTTGTATTATGTATGAACCAACACTTGCTGAATGAACCAATAAGTATTGAAATTTGTATTTCTATGGTTAGTTTCCCTGAACATACATGCATTAGGATAGAATCTCAGTGTTTCAGCAACATCTTATGAACCCTTTATAGCTCCATTTTTTTCAGTTAATTTAGTTCTCATGAAAATTGCTTGTTTGACAGTCCTAGAAATTGAGTGCCTTCCCAGCCACCCAGCAGACTGGTGCAGGAGGCAGACAGAGCCAAGGCCATTTTGTGATTCTGTGATTTCCTCAGGTCTCAGAGCTTCAAACAAAGAGGGAAATGGAGAACATGCTGGGACAGAGATGAGGAACAGGATAGGAAGGTCTTAGCTCATTATATAACATGTGCAGCAGTATGACAGAACAGAACAGAGCTGGGAGCACACCACAGCTTCACACTCTTCCATTCTGACACCCTTAGAAATTTGGAGCCTTGTATTTTTTCCTACTTTCCTCAAGCACTTTCTCTATCCCTGTTAACTTTCCTGAGCAGCTCACAAGCTCTCTTTTTGGAATACATCTGCCACCTGGCTCCGCTTTCATGTTGTGCCGCTGTCCTGATTACAGGCTTTCTCCCCAGGGACTTAATGAGCCTTAACACCCCTGAGTAGCCCCACCTGGGCTCAGAGCCTATCTCAGCCCCATCTTTTAGGCCACACCAATTGATAAGGTTAGTGACATTATTCTGCCCTGGAAATGTCACCATGTTCTGCATGGCTTAGCAGATCTATGGGTGGTACCTTATTCATTCTCCTATAGGTGTGAAATAGATGAACAGCCTTATAAACATCTGTGATGTTTACGGCACTTCACTAAAAAATCATCAAAAGTCTTCCAGATTTTACATTAAATCCCCAAGTAATTGCTAAGCAGTACCATATATACATTTCCAAGGTTGCAGTCATTACGTGTATCAATATGAAAAGCATAAGAATGTTTATCTCTGACAATTAAACAAGCCTGTGCCATAGGTTTCCAGCTGGGAATATTAAATGACAGCTAATCTAGTTTCTAAAAACACAGTTCTTTCAGCACTTTGAGACAAAGAAAAGTATGACTGTCTCAATGTCACCAGTGGTCCAAGCAGCTTGTACCGCCTTGATTCACTGATTTGAAAAATGATGACTTAGAGTTTCAAAAGTGCTGAGGGATGTTATAGCCTGGTCCTCTTATGATCAACTGATCTTTTCAGCTCTTAATGGGAAAATAAATCACAGACAAAAGATAATCCTGTTGCACAGAAGCAAAAAAGGTGTGATGTCAAGAGACTTTTATAGAAAAAGAAAACTCCGTGAAAGGGTGAAAGTAAATAAGGTAGTTTGTTCTGCTGATGCTCTTGTTGGCAAGGTCAAAGCCCTTTTCGGGAGCTGCGTACCTCAAGAAATGAGAATGAAACAAACTGCATTCAGAGAATTTTAACAGTGAGCAGTAAAGATGTGAGGCATAGTTTTTCTTACAAACTCCTTCCAGCTCTCAAAAAATGTAGGATTTTAAGGCTTCTTTTAGATTTTTACTGTTCTTATTTCTTCTTTAATGATAAAGCTGTCAGTTGCTAGTTTGTTTTCCTTTCATAATCACCAGTTTTCTCTTAGTTCAGTTTTGATACTGCAAATGACATTAACTAAATAGAAAAAGGAGCCAAATAAAGCTTTGCTATATTCTAATTAATGACTATTCTAATAAAAAGTACTTTGATATCGCAGTCAGCCTAGAGTCACTTCTATGATCTTTAATTTTCAATATGATACATACTATTTATATCCTATAAACGTAGGTGTAACACAATAGCAGCACAAGCAGGAAGAAGACAGCCCATTAAGTATTTGGCCTGCATAAGAACTGATTGCACAGTCAATCTCCGCAATGTAAACAGGCTTTTTTAGAACATTTGTTTGCATTTATAATTAAATTAGACTTGCACTAAAACGAAGATTCTCTATTGGAATGTTAAGCAGAAAATCTGACAAAAAATACCGCTTCCCTCATTACTTTTGTGAGTCCATGAAACACTATTTGAAATTAGTGCTGTCCTCTGCATCAGGTGAGCGCTGGAGAGGGACATTGGGCTGTGCCACCATTGCCCACATTAAGTAAAACACACTCCCCTCATCTCCCCCTGGAGGTACATGTTGCTTCTGAGCAGTATGTAGCTAATCCCCTGGAGGAAAGCTGATTAGATCCCTTCCTCTCTCAGCTCCGTGTCCCTTTGTTGCCTAACCAACTCTCTGCACCTACAACATGCCACTGCTGCCTGATGGACCTCCCAGTTAATCTGTGGATCTGGCCATTCTGAAATCCATTTAGGGATTAGGAAGGACTATGAAGTGGGTATATATCTTCCAGTCAGCAGCCTAGAAGTCAGGGTAATATTAGCAGGATGCTAGCACACACACATCTATGTCTATAGAGCCACACCGTGACTTAATGGGCTGTTCCCTGCCTGCAGCTTCCTACCTAGCAGAGAGAAAGGATGCTATTCAAACAAATGAAACCATGGCCTGTGATTTTAAAGCGATTCTTTGTGCCTGAATTGTTTCTTGAATGTTCTGACTAACAGCTACTGGATTATTCTTTGGGGGCTGCAGTGCTCAACCCTCTCTTTTCCCCACATATGGTGGCCCTGAGGAATGCAAATGTGGCGTTAAAATTTACAGTGGTGCACCTTTGGCATGTCTGCCTGTCTACCTGAAGAAAGGCAAACTGCAGACCTGGCCACATATTTGTATAGCTGAGATTTTAAAGGACGTGTAAGGGAGCTCGGATGGATAATTTCGTTTCCCACTGAAAATCTATTTCATGATGATATAAAATGCATGACTGCCTTGGTTGTATCAACAAAGACTAACAAAAGAAACAATAATTACCACAACAGATAACATGATAAAATAGTGCTCCAGGAGTACTATTTCTCCTTGAATTTTCTTTGGTCACTCAGTAGGTAGATTTACTGCAGTTGCCCTAAGTAGCCTGTGTCAGAGTGGTTTAATGTACCATTAACTTCACCTTTATATATTCATTTCTCACAGTGGTATAAACCAGAAGAAAAAGGTGCCTGGTACTTCTGCACTGCAAAAAGACAGCTTAGGCTTCTGTCTTGCTTTACAGCATCATCCCATCTGTTTTAGGGGAAAATTTGAGTGGTAATGTTAACCTCAAGTACGTTAACCTTTGGATGCCATGAGACATGATAGACAGGACCATTATTTTTATGGCACATTTTTTTCCTGAGCAAAGATCCTGGGGAGTGAAGAAGGATAGAAAATCCTGGGTTTACTTCTCTGTCTCCAAACAAAATAGAGTGCACAATTACTTGGAAGCCAAGGCAGACTTCATTATCGACACACAAATACCCAACAACTATAAATCTAAGGGAGCCCAAGTAACGAGTCAAAACCATGAGGCTGATGATTTATTCAGTCTCACTGAATTTACTGGCATAAATACTGTTTCCTCATAAAGTAGAGTTCGCCTGCCAGTTTGAGCCAAAGACAAGACTGCTCTTGAGCACCTTCATTACAAATGTAAATGCGGGCTTGAAAGTGAAAATCATTAAAATTTTGGGGTCAGAAGTCTTAGTATACGCCTAGTACAAAATTAGTTGAGAAAGTAATTCTCCAACTGTTACCATCTCCCCATGAGAAAACCCCAAAGTACCATCATATATATTGTACAATATTTAGCAGTTCTGGTAAAAGTTTTCAGGGAACAATAAAAGAGTGAAGGAAAGGTAGGAGAAAATGCTGCAGGAGCTTTGCATGTGTACTTGATTAACTCAGTAAGTGCATAAAGTCTTGAATGCAATTTAAGATTTGATTCTTTTCCTAATTTCTGAAAAGCTCCATTTGTTTTTCTCATTAAGTAGGATCAGGAGGTTCACTGTCATCAATGATATTTGCTAAGCTATTAAATGCGAATATGTTTAGTCTTTGCCAAGAAAAGTACACTGTTCAGACAGGTTACGTATTTGTCATGTATCCTAATTACCTACCAATAGCAGCTTCCACACCTGTAACATTATTTATTGATCAATTTTAGATTTATTTAGCTACATCTGTGATAACTGTTCTTTTGTATTTGCAGAAATATGTTCATTACACGTAGAGTCTGGGGCAATGCATTCATTAACTATAACCATAACACAATGGTTAGTTCTAATTTTGGTTCTTCAGTTCCCCAAACATTCATCTTTCCTCTTCTCATTTCCTGGGATCAATTATTTGCCTTATTGAAATCAGAGGTAAATCTTCCACTGACTCTGGCAGAGCTGGGATGCTAGTTTTAGCATTTCCTTTTCAGTTCTTTTCAGCACCTTATTCTCTTTGTCTGTTTTCTTTTGGATCTCTGTTCTATTTTTGGTTTTGTTTAACTTTCAACATGCAAACAATCTGCTATTTTTCCTTTTATTCTTTTTTTTTTTCTCCTCACTTTGATACTTTGGTTTCTACATATGCTTTGTTTTTGCCACCTTATTTCATTTATCCATTTCCTCTTTTTGTTTCTGTTTGTTTCTCATCTACTGTTTAACCAGTATTTTCCTCTGCTTACTACTCTGTTTTTCCTCTCTCCTAACTGACTGATTCCCTCTGTGTAATGTCTTTCTACCTTCCCTTTCCTCTCTTTTCCAAAACACAACTCATCATTCTATGCCACCAATGTATAGCAGATTCTGAAATTCTGTCATCTGAGACAGTTAAATACTAAACAAAACATTACCAGGGTGGAGGAATCACTTACCCTGATTGACAACAAATCGTAACTTCTGTATTGTTGCCAGATTGCCGCTAACTCTGTATATTCCATCAACTTCTAGACCTGAAAGAGAAGCACACATTTCATTTTAAATCATATAAGTATTTTTCTTTGTACGTCTGTCAAGAAGCCAGAAGTGCCCTAACAAGTATGAAGAAGTGCAGAGCAGTAAATGACTGAAAAATAATCCACCTGACAAACACCAAAGTGCCTCCTTGCCTGATTATGACAACAATGAGAAATAAACGCAGTAGATTAGCTTAAGTGAATACAAAATATCTGACTGTAATTATCTTGTAATTCTGTCAGCAGAATACATTTTGCAAAGGTATTTGAGTGTGACAGAAAAGGAAGAGTGGATTAGCTCTTGTGTTCATGGAATATGGTTATTTGGGATACAAATGACAGTGTGTTTGCCCTGCTGAAAAGTGGGGTGCTTCTCTTAATGGTGTATATTAACAGGGGAAGCTGCTCCGTCTGAGGCCTGAGTTTTTCAGATGTGAAGATCTGAGGCTATGACCTTTCTGAAAATTAAGTGCTGCAATGCCCACTCTGAAATCATGACATGTGTAAGACTACACACAACTACAGCTTCTCTATTATATTCGTCATAGCAGATCGGACGGGTTTGAAACTAAAATTAAATATCCCAAATAGCACATGCCCTGGAGTACATTTTTTCATTAATATAAGCCATCCTTTTCAAGGACAACCTGACAGACTTGTTTCTCCCTGCATATCTACTCAAGGTTTATCTTCTAGGTGAAACTAGATGTCATACTCCCCTTTGTGACATATTATCTCCTACAGCAAGCGCTGCTGATATGACTGTTTAAAATAGCACTTCCAGCCCTACTTGCATAGCTGTAGCATTTTAAAGCATGTGGGAACTGCTCTTCTTTCCTTGGAGAATTAGCTATTGTGCAAACAATGGCCGAAATGACTACATGCTTAAGAACTGAAAACACAGAACTCTAAGTTGTCAGTCTACATTTAAGACTTGCAAGTAAACAAGAAGTTAAGAGAACCTATACCAAGCTCAAGGATTTTTTAAGGCTACTCATCACTTACAACAGAAGTTTTAATTAATCTTGGCAAACAATTTCAGAGAAAGCCTTCGTCTCGGAAAACGTTAATTTGTCAAAACAAAATGGTTTCAGGAAATATTTCAGTTCTGACAATGTGTCTAGTGGGAATATTTCCTTTTGCAGTTCAGGGTGAGGAAAAAAGAAAAAATGAAATTATAGGAACAAGTGAAAACAAGTCAAAATGTATCTCAGAAGCCCACTTGTAATTATGCTCAAATATGAGGGAGCTGAGGTTCAAATAATCATTTAAAGACACCTGCAACATGCCTTGGCAGATGAGTGCCGCAGCTTCAATGGACTTCAGTGCTTGGAGATATTCTTCACTGATTGTGAAGGATTTAAAAAAAAATAATAGCAATAGCAATTTTAAAATAAAGCGGTGAACTGTTTGTTTTTTTCTTTTTCTTTTTTTCTTTTTTTTTTTTTTGGGGGGGGGGGGGTGTTTTGGTTTCTGGCTCTTTTTACAAATTAGAGTTTTTATTTTATGTCCATAATACCAAGAGTACCCTGACTTTTTTAATATTTATTTTTCTTTTTTCCTTTTTTTTTTTTTTTTAACAGTAAATAACCTATTTTAAAGAGGAATAGTGATTCCACATTATTCCATTTTTCATATTATGCACTGGTTATCAGTGCCTGTTATTAGACAATTTTCTACTGTGCACCTGTGGATGTCCTACAACATAATACTGAAAGTGATGATTCATTTCAGGAAGATCTCCTTTGGTTACAAAGGGATAAATAAAAAGTGTATTTAAAGGAATTCAAAAGGCATTGCTAAATGAGCAAATTTGGAGGTTATATATTCACTGGGTATATAACATATGACCCATTGGAAATTACTAAAATATTTAAATAATCAACTTTATCCTAAAATGGAAGAGTATGATTGTACCTTAGCAAGGAGAAAATGGGAGAGCAACTCCCATGAGGACTCCTATTGGTAAGGGATTAAGATTTGAAATTGTAAAATTTGTCAATTGTAAAAAAATGTAAATTGAAGTCTAAACCAGAAAGTAAAGAGGAAAAGAAAGTAAATGAACAAGCAAAAAGCCCCAGAACAGAACGCTAACTTTTGCTTGGATCTAACTCAACTTGATTCTCAATCTTCTGGGGTATATGGAAATGAAAGCAATACTTGTCACTGTGTGTGAAATAGCAATGTCTCACATTAATAGCATCAATTTGGAACAGCTCAACCCCCTCAGTATGAAACTACATAAATTATCCAGATCGAGTGAAAATGACAAACTATGTTGTAAATTGGAGGATATTACATCTTGCAAAATGATCTGGAGTATATAAGTGAATTATTATTGTTATAAATTTACTTTGGTCCAGAAATGAGTTCTGATTAGCATTTCATTTGGACAGTATGCAATATGGCAGAAAGAAAAAAATCCAAGAATATCAAACCAATTATAGTGTTCACGTGCCATCAACTTTCTGCTCCAAGAACTTTGAAAGTTAAGCCAAACCAAACCAATGTAAATTGGTGGATTTGGATATCCTTTTCACAACCACATTATCTTAGCTGGATTGTTAACAACTTATTTTGGAAATCCAATTAGGTACAAATAGGAGAGAGAGAGAGAGAGAATAAGAAAGAGAGAGAGATGACTTTAGAGTTCTAATGTCCTGATTCTGTGAGCAAATTTCAAAGAAAATTCACTTTTAAGGACACTTCTATCAAGGACAAAATCATCACTGCTGTCAGCGTTTTTTCATGGTGGGCTATAAATACTTAGGGAACAAGATGAAACAAAATTCTTTCAGAGTTTTCTAACTGGTGTTGGCACTCAAGTATACTGGTAAAGAACGTTTCAGGAAAATTGTTCATTGTAATAAAGTCCAACTTCTTGTTCACTATAAGCTGACCTTCTTATGCTTTGGAGTGGGTTTTATCAGAGATGAATTATTGGATTTTGCCCTCGAGGAGAAGAAATATTTTATTTGCCTTATATCACAAACTCCAACTTTGTTTTTGTTTGTTTTAATGAGGAACCTGAGAATAGCACGGACCCACAATTAGAAATGGCAGCCAAAATCTTGATAAAGACTTCAATATGTCCAGGCATCTAAATCTTATAAAGGTATAAGAAATAAAACTTGTTCAACTTGTTCAAGAATACATCAGCTCGGCTCACTAACTATAGGCAAAGGAAAGCTTTTGTCAAAAGCTCACACAGGTTGTCTTGATGAGAAAGTTAAAAGGCAGCTGAATTCAGGTTTGATTGGAATTCACGAGCACTCAATTTAATATGCACTGAGCAAAACTGCACTGAAGGTCTTAGATGAATCTTTGTTGAGGAACTTTTCTTGCACACCTGTTTTTAGTCAAAGCACAACTATTCACGCAGGTCAACATCAACTCCAATAGCAGCTTGACCAGGCAGTAGAGAAAGAGCACTAAATCCACAAGCAATGTAACAGTTTAGGTGATGCATTTATCTACATACAAGTTTTAAAATGTTTGACTTTGATATTAGTTGAAGTTGTTCTGATATTTTATGAACTGCCTTGGATGAAATACTGTCATTAATTCTCATTTGGTGCAGAGAGTGAATCCCTCACCCAAATCACACTGCACTCTAAGATTAACGTATGTTTGAAAATATCTTAAAATTCAATATAAAAAGTAATTCTATGTGTACATGCAGGTTTTTTTTAATTATTTTTTATTTTTTTTTTCTTTAAATAATAGTTAGACTTTGAAACATATAATCTTAAATGATACTAGGTAACTTCATGCATAGGAATCCACGAAACCTCCCCAATTAATGCATCCTGAGGTAGGTGTGGTCCCCTGGCCTGGTAAGAGTTTTATAAAAGAAACCATCGTGCTGGATTCAACAACAAAGCAAAGTACAAACTTGAAAAAAAGGCATTCTTTAGTTAGTCCTTTCATTTAAAATCAGTTATGTTCAGGGCAAAAATATTGTATTTCAAAGGAGCCTATTATGCCTTCCCATAAACAGAAAGATCATACGTTTTAAAACTAAAGTATCATTATGTAATCAAGCTGTTGTATTATAAACTATTTTGTGGGCTCAGATGCCCAGGGCTATCTTTACAAATATTTCAGAGGTCATTATCAGGGTATGTTCTCTTAAAACTTTAATTCTTTCCTCCTGTTTTCATATACATCTTGCCATAAATACCTGATTTATAAACATTTCTCAAAAGTTTACAAAGGGCATAGAAGTGAGGCATTAAGTCAGTTAAAGAGGCAGAAATGCATGAATGCAGCAAATACACCAACGACAAAATAATGTGACTGATGAGAGAATCACCACAAAACAGTGTGCAACAAAAGTAGTTTTATGAAAACATCAATATTCGTGCCATTAGAAGGCAAATCCTGAGGAGTACTAATGAATGAATTCAACATGTTAAAATTCAACCTTGAAAGCGCTGCATCTGGATTAGGTTACAAAAGGTGCCTGAACTTTCAGGTGAGTATAGGAGATAAGAAAAATACTGGTTTTGTCTGACAGAAAGGAAATTGGAGAGGAAAATCATGAGAACAAAACAAATCTAAGTTGCACCACACAGAAGAATACAAAGGCATCAACAACAAACACAGAACACATATAAAGTGAAATGTGATGAAGAGGTGGTATGAGTGGAAGATGTCTTACTCAATAGACCTGGCGTGCAGCTGGAGCCACTCAGGTTGAAACAAGCACTAGCTCTGCTTGAAAATGAGCATTTGTACTCAACATGGCTTTCAGTGGCAGAAGAGTTATTCTGATACTGTAGAAGCAGTAAGTGGGATGCACTCGGAGACTGGCTAGACTGACCTCAGTCCCAGACAGTCTACTTAAATAATTTATTCACAACTCCATGAAGAAATAACTCAGAGCAAAATATAATTAATCATAATTAGCATGGTTTCGTGGAAATCAGGGTCTTGTCTAACAAACTATCATTTTGAAGGATTGGATTTTTGACAGGTCTGAATGACAACAGTAT